GAAAAGGAGACCCTGGGAGTGCTGAGCAGAAACCAGCCTGCGGGTACCACTCCTGGATGCCAAGCCAGACCCTAAAACCCCCTAGACCTCACTCTGATCCTACAGGACAATTTTGGGGGTGTCCCACGAGGTGGGTTTGGGGCTCTCTGCAGTTCTCGGGGTGCTCATGTCATCCCTCATGGCACATGTAGGACATGGGGGGGCACCGTGGGCCCCTCTGCCTGCTCGCACCGATGCTGCTGCATCCAGCAGAGATGGTGGGGAGCTCTGCCACGCCACCGAGGTGGGCTCCGGCAGAGCCCGGCAGGCCGGCACAGCACAGGTGAGTGTGCAGGATCTGGCCGGGCCATGCCATGCCCCGAGTCATGCCGTGCCCCGAGCTGTGGGATGAGTCAGGCGGGCGGCAGGGCTGCGCCGAGTCAGCAAATGCAGCAAACAAACAAGCCCAAAAATCAACAGGGAAGCTGCTCCGTGGGGAAAAAGGGCCTGGACGGGACCGGACCGGGGCTGAGGCAGCCGTGGGGTTTGCAGGAGGAGGTGGGGACCTGAGCAGCATCTTCCCTTGACCCTTCCCTATTGCTGTTCAGCGAAGGCGGGATGGCTCTGTCCACCTCTGCAGCCCCATCGGCACGAGAAAACGAGCTGCGCTGATCACCCGGCGCTTGCACCTTGGTCCGAGCTGGTACCCAGCGCTCAGCTCTCGCGCCCTTGTGTTCGGTGCTGCAAAGTGGGCACCGCTGCGATCCCCAGGGCGCAGGGCAGGGGACAGGGCCACCCACGCCACCTCGGCTTGAGGGGGATGCCGATGGAGGCGTCGCAGTGCCGTGGCTGCGTCCCTGCCCCAGGAGGGTTTTATTGCTGGGTTTGGGTTTGGGAAGCAGCTGACGCAGCAGGTGCCGGGGAGGGAGCCGGGACCGCACCAGCATTGCAGCATCTCTCAATTAGAAGCTGTTCGGTGTCACCACCCAGCTACGGGGACAGCAGCAGAGACGGGGCTTTGGGCTCAGCCCGAGGACAGGCTGATTTTGGGGGTCGGGGAGACTGGGGGCAGGCGGAGGAGCGCCGGGGTGCAGGCAGCTGCCTGCCCCTTCTGCCAGCCCGCCACGCGCCCTCTGCGTCTGGCTCTCCCTGGCCCGGCAGGTCTTTCCGGTACAGATAGGAAGAGTTTGTGTCATTTTCCAGGAGGCGATGAGACCTCGTCTGGGACAGCCAGCACCGCTCCAGGCTGGGACCAGCCTAGGTGGGGCCGCACATCTGCATGGGCAAAGCCACAGCTGGATCCCCAGGGACACAGCTGGATCCCCAGGGTGACAGCACCCACGAGCGGAAGAAGGATGGGTGCACCCAGCAGAGTGGAGGAAAAGCTGCTTAAATTGTGCCGGGGACAAGACGGGGGTCAGAGAAACCACCAAGAGAGGGGTCAGGCTGGAGGGAGCCCCAGCGCCCCAAGACGGTGGCACGCGGGGACCCCCATGCCGGGAAAGCTCCTGCCGAGGGCGGCGGTGCCAGGGCAGTGCGGTTTGCGCAGGAACGTGGCCCCTCTCCGCCCTGCAATGTTGCCGCCCCGCCGGAGCCGCCTGCCACCCGGTTGCACCCTGGGCTTGCTTCAGCACTGGTTTCTCAAGCGCTCGCTGGCGGTGCCCAGCGGGCCCGTGCCCCCGGGGAGGCACCGGGATGGGGACTCTGGCTCCACGCAGCACCGGAGTGCTGGGGGGAGGCGGGAGCTGCTGACTCAGCAAATCACAGCTGCCTCTCGCCCGGAGCCGGATTTCCAAAGATCTCCAAAGTCTGTCTTTCCCGTCCCACCCCTGCAGCCAGATCTGGCACCCGGTGCCATGCTGGGCCACCAGAGCCCCCCCGGCCCTGGGGCAGGAGCCCACCCCACAGCCCTGCTCTGCTCCAGCACTCCTTTTTTTGCTAAAATATTTCCCACTGCAACAGTGGGTCAAGGATACGAGGACACAAGGATAAGACCCTGCAGCCTCCTGGCTGCTCCCGCCGGCCATCCCTGCCCGCCAGGATGTGTCATGCTGGATCCCAGTGGCATTGC